CATGGATGTATTCTGGCCGTTCACGACGAAAAATCACGGCCGCGACTCAAACGCACGAGAAACAGGAATACACTGACGGGCGCCCCCCTTTTTGTAAACCGCACCTACGTGGCCCCTACAACTTGCCATAACTTGGCATACTGCAAAGACTACGGCCCCAGTAGCCCATCAGCGCGTCAGAGCGAATCACGTGACAAATTTTCGTTCAAGCGTCCTTGTCCTACGGAGAGCGGTCACGTGTTTTGCGCCACCCCTCTGATTTGCTAGAAGTGGCCTTCGCAATCGCTCAGAGCAACACGAAGACACAAAAGAAGGTTTCGAGGCTTATCAGAAGACGAGGTCAAAGGGGGTTGGGCAAAGCCGCTAATCTCCCTCTGCTGCTTTGTATTGCCACCTGCCCTGCCCAGGGAAGGTCGCGAAATCGGACTCGCCAGGGCTTGCTTTGCGTAGTACAACCTTGAGCGTCTCAAACTGCCACTCCTGTAGACGCGCATGATCTGGTGCGGACCGCGAGATCACAAGATAAATACGAAAAACCATTTTTAACGCCGCCGAAAACGCGGTTTCACGTGTACAAAAGAAAAACCGGAAAAAAAAAGCGTCGGAAAGCTAGATATTTTGGTGTCATTACGCAGAGATAAGAGTCGCGTCCCTGGGGGTGTCATTAATCCGGAACTTTTGATTGTCTTGCGACATTGTTTCTTCAGAGCTACACTCCAAAATAAAGTATCAGTGAAGGTGCTATAAGTAGTGCGAAACCCAGTCAGGTGAGTTTGTAATATCCGAAATGAGGGCGCCACAGTTTGTTCAAGTCTTCAGCTTAAAAGGTCTTTCTCAGGTTAAAAGTAAGCAGATTCTATTTCGGTTAATCTTGCTTTGCATTGTTTTTTTAACGTCGGATTTTAGACAGTCAAGGAATAGAAATACCTCGCCGGCATAGCCGATTCACGCAGGACACTCTTGGCAGTCAACCGAAAACGGTGCCAAGTACGGTATGTCAGGACAGCGTCGCCGCGACCCATCCCATTTTTCAGATATTGGCTAGACCAAAATAATATCGACACAATCTTTCCTATTTAATTCCATAACAGCGCAATATTGTGTGCTGCCTAGGTTGTATATTTACACGTCTTCATTCATTCTTTTTTTTGGCAGCGGAGATGATTTTTTTTATAATCAAGGTTGAACCGATAAAACTGATGCACGCGCGAAACGTAATTTTAGGCTCGTGTCGAACGAAGAGTTCAATAGGAGTTGCAAAAACTATTCTCTAGCACTATCTAATCATACGCGACTCCGTGTGGCGATTAATTATACTCGATGTTTGTACCGCCGTACATCAACAACAGTTTCACCAAAGCAATAAATATTGCTTTGTATTGTAATAAAGCAATAAATATTGCTTGCATTGTAAACGGCTGAATGGGCCACGTCAGGCAGAGATAATCTGCCTTTTGTCCTGTTACCCTTGACCTATTGTCTAAATAAAAACCAATTCAATTCAATTCAATATGAACGGCTATGAAATCATGAGTGTATTTGACAGCATCACCATTACGCCCCTTTCACACCGTGTGGATGAAGGGCGTAAAATTCGGCCATACACCCTTTTTACACGATTTCAGACACCATCGTTGCAAGTGGGGCGTAAAGAGGGCGTGTAAAGGGTGTAAAACGGCAGCACACCCTTTTTACACCCACCGATATTCAGAAATCGTGTAAAAAGCGTGTAAAAAGGGTGTTTTTCCTAACGTACACCCTTCTTACACCCTTTTTACACGATTATGGGTGTTACAATGTTTAGTGTGTAGGGCAGACATTTACGCAGAAAGGCACTGCTGTGCCCTATCTGCGAACGGAGAGATTGGTTATAGACTGCCAAGGACTTGACGTCGGCAGAAAGTCCATCAATCGTGTTCAAAGGGAGGAGCATAAGTTCGCGGAGGTTATTGTCTTTGCTGTCGGATGACAAAATCGGGAGAAAAGAGGTCAGCATTCAGATCATTGCCACCGTCACCCTTTCGCTTTGTGCACGACGAACACTCGTACGTACTTGCCCCATCCTTCATGTGCCACTGATGATCCTCTGCTGCGCTGTCATCGCGCGACGCAGCAGAGACTGCTTGCACATCTCTCCACGGGGCGCGGTGCCGCCGGGGCTGAGATGCGCTCCGATAGCAAACCGAAACTTAAAAACACGTCGATTTTGTGCGGTTTTTCAGAAAGCCGTAAAATGCTTCGCGTGCCTTCTATCGCTCTGCACTTTGTTGAATTAGTGTTTTTCGATGATGCTTGCGTTCTCTGAAACACCCTGTATATACATATATATATATACCGGGTGTTTTTGCGAAGACTTTCAGAAATCCTAAAAATTAGGGCGATTGAAAAAAGAAGAAACTCTCTTCGGGAACAAACTACCAGCCACGGCGGACGTCAGGAATTGCCAAAACCCTACTCATTAGCCAGATAATTAATTAAAACTTGTTAATTAACTTTTTAATTAGTGGAAATAGACATAAGATTCCAATTAGAAAGTTGCTGAGCGTTATCGAAAACCACTAAATCAGTCATTTTCAGAAAGACTTTGAGCGCTTGAGACGAGTAGTAGCGCACAAAAGTTACCACTCGTGGAGCAGGTACAAGGCTAGCGGTTGCGGTAAGGCGCCCGCGTGATTTTTCCGCCTCTTATCTAGCACCAGCCTTGCAACTGCTCCACGAGTGGTAATTTTAGTGCGCTACTACTCTTCTCAAGCGCTTAAAGTCTTTCTGAAAATGACTGATTTAGTGGTTTCGATAACGCTCAGCAACTTTCTAATTGGAATCATACGTCTATTTCCACTAACTAAAAAGTTAATTAACAAGTCTTAATTAATTATCTGGCTAATTAGTAGGTTTTTGGCAATTCCTGACGTCCGCCGTGGCTGGTAGTTTGTTCCCGAAGAGAGTTTCTTCTTTTTTCAATCGCCCTAATTTTTAGGGTTTTTGAAAGTCTTCGGAAAAACACCCGGTATATATATATACATACATATATATATATACACACATATATATATATATATATATATATATATATATATATATATATATATATATATATATATAATACCATTATGATCTGTCGAATAGCCGCTCCGCCACTTCGTTTACCTTTCGCGTTTTGAAAATGCGGTTTCGAGATGATGACGCCTACGGCATCGCTCGCTTCGCCGGAGTCTTCGGCATTGATCATCGGAGTGATGAGCGTGATTGTTATGAAGAGATGTTGGAAGCTTGTCATTTTGACTTCGGCCAGCTGGCGGCCAGCTCCAGCGACGACCACAAGATTGCCACGAAAGAACTCGTCGTTATCGCCGTCGTTCGCGACGATCTCGCACGTGCGTGTAAGGAGGAACGTCAAAGGGCAAGGGTGCAAGAGCCAGATTAGCGTTGGTGTAGCTGAGCGGCGTGAGAGTGTGCGATCGTACCGAGACGAGGCGAGCTTGGCCGAGCATGGTGGCGCCTAGAATGAAAGAGCGGTTAGCTCAATATCATGATCGC